AATGAGAGGTGGCTGTTATCGCCCGATAAGCGCGACCCGTGGATTGCGCGTGACCGTGGTGGCGGCGTGGCGGCCATGAGACACTACCACAATGCGTGCGGGGAAGTCATCCATGGAGGCAGATGACTCTGATGAGGTCTGCTCGGCGCAGGCGCACAATGCTGGGCGCGGTCAGTGGGGTACAAGCAGCAGGTTAAGTAGACGCACTGGCAATAATCTCCGCGTATTTTGAGTATGTCGGGGTGTCCTGTTTGACGCTTAGCAGAAGTTTCGAATGGGAAAGGATGGCGCCGTCCATACAGAAATCCATCTCGATAAGCGTGATCTACATGTCATAATTGCCGGCGCCTTTGGAGGGTTAAGCGAGAAAACTTCAAAAGCACTACATACTAGATGTTCGTCGCTCTGAGGTCAAAGTCAGACAATTTTCCTAGACAAAGCCATTGTGATTACCAGGCTAGAATTGTTGAAGGCTGCTGCTGTGCTTCAAGATGTCCAAGGCAGCAGAGACTCCAGCGAGGCGTTTGAAGTACAAGGTTGTTAGCTGTGCAAATGGCGCCTTGGAGGGATGCAGCGCAATGATCTCCACTGAGAGTATTTGTAGGGATCGCAGTTCCGGTGCGTCCAGGATTCGCAGTCGTTTCAACTCCCAGTCACCCTCGGACGCCGCAATCGAAAGACGCTGTAGCATTGGAAATTGTGATCCAGCCAAAAACAGCTGGGCCAGCGTCTCCATTGGCACGCTTAGTGAGACGTCTCGCCAGCGAGATACCAGCGGGAGTAATGTCTGCGCCGTAATCAAGAAAGGCTGTCACATGAAGTGTAAGGGGGAGGACATTAGCGCGTGCAATCCATAGTTTTGTGAGATTAATCAGCTCAAAGCTGCTCTACGAATGTGCTTCCGTAGTCCGAGTTGTTGTCGTGGGACATGCGGCGTTCCGAGCAGCGCAATGCTCCCGGGTTAGGCTCCCTTCCCAGTTGTCGTTGGATCTAACGGGGATTTGGAGAGCCTCAGCAAACAAGAAAACGTTAACGATAGAGAGGACGAGGGCCTTGCCCTGGACCCACCCTGCCGGGGGCCTCTGCTCGCCGCAGGGCCCGCTGCGCGGAGCACTCTTCTCTTCCCTCCTCCCCTCTCTCACTTTCCTAGGTGCTCTGGAGCTTTTTATCACGTAGTTGCGGCGCGGCCGGGGTTTTCCACCCGGACCCCACGCTGCCGCGGAGGCCTGCTGCGCAGCTCGTGAATTGATCCTGAGCTGATTCCCGAGGTCATAGGAAGCATGCGTCGGTGCATCAATCCCACTGATCACCCTTGCTTAAGGGCTGATCAGTGGGATTGACTCGATCAGTAGGACTGGTTTGGGGTGGCCCAGTCCCAGTCCCACTGATTTCGTCACCCCTCATACTGTACTTGTCGATATCGCAGGCACCCACCGAGTGTACATATTCGTCTCCATAGTGAAATGCGAGGTGGACATTCAAAAGATCCAATGCAGGGAAGTAGCTGGCTATGGATGCCAGCTTGCTGCTAGTGTCGCACCCCTCTAGCACTGCAAGCGTCAGATCCGTGACTGCTCCAAGTGCGCGTAGGAAGGGCAGCAAGGGCGAGCAGCAGGGCTGGCGTATCGGGTCCCAGTAGCGTGAGCTTGTCAATGTTGGCCAGCGGAAGGATAAGCAATGCCAGCTCAAGCGTGGCTTGTAACTGTGTCAAAGTACGGAATGTGCATGGCAAATCGCGGTCCGGAGGGGCTACCGGGGAGGGAATGTTGTCGGTCGTGAGTATCAGGGACTCCAGCCTAGGAAAGGCGGTGTTGAGCAAGGTGGCGAGTTCACTGGTCTCCGAGCCTCTGATACTAATTGTGAGGTGGGTGGTATTCAGGAATATCGGAGTACGGCAATTCCGCCCTGGCAGTGTAATGCCAGACTTGGCGCTGCTGCTTCCCATCGTATCTGCAGCGCGCAAACGCGCTGAGGCTACAAGGTTCAGCCAGGAGCTCGGTTCGCTGCAGTCGGCGAGTATCAAGCTGCTGATGGATATTTTCTGGAGGAACATAGAGCTGGCGAGAGAAGGGGGATTGCACAGTTGATGAGGAACAATGTCTCAGTGATTGTAGCTGGGCGAGCGCACCAAGCGCCCTGGTCGTGAATTCTATCTGTTCAGCCTTGAAGTAGCGAAGATTGCCGGCGGGGGGAGTGTCGTGAGTACGCTATGGAGCATAGAATGAATCTCGTCCTCGTCGCTGAACCTGACATCGCTGAATTTGTACGAATACCCAGAGTAGCAGCTAAGCAGGTTGACAGAGATGCACTTGACGTACAGCGCCACGCTATTCGACCCAAACAGTCCCAGTTTATCCTCCAACTGCTGCGTTTGCTCCGTCGTCAAAGGTATAGGGCAGGAACGAGAGGTTGGTGAGTAGGAGTGTGCGAGCCAAAGAGCAGAAGCGCCGCGATGCACGGGCGACATTGTGCAGGTCATCCCTTGGCGCTCGTCGGAAGGCGTCGAGGAGGAGCTCGTTGGGCAACACGGTTGTTAGGAGAGAAATGGTTGCCGCGTGAGAGCGTCACTGAGCGTGTGACAGCCGACTGGGATGCCAAGCCACTGCGCTCAACTTGAAAGACAGGTCTTGCTCTCAAGCTCCTTCTCCAGCTTAATACAGTCGGGTATCGGAGGACACAGTGCAGCATTCTGCGCTCAAAGGACTACAATGGTGCCCAAAAACCTTCACGGCCAACGTGTCCACGGACATGAATTTGATGGCTCCCTGTGCACGTGCATCAGCATGGTCCGTGCGCCGCCCGCCAAACACGGGTCATCGCCCTTCTTTTCCGCCCACTTTCCCCCCACACGGTCTGAGCCGACCTTGCGATTCTGCCCTCGGTGGCCCGCGCTGGTGTCGAGGAAGGAACAGCCTGCTTTCGAGGCAGGATGGACATGGGATCAGGCGCTTCAAAAATAAAATGTGGCTGGCGGGTGGGCGCCAGCGCACGCGGCTCCTTGTACATCGTATTTGTCCGTCGTCGTGGCACAATTTTTTATCTTCCTTGACCCGTCTCGGCGGGTCTCATGGTTGTCGTGTGCAGAGGGACAAGGTGTGTTGTGCACTTGATACTAGTAATTGGGGCTCACCCATTGTCAGTGTAATAGACGTTGTTGTATCCGTGCACTACTAATCAACATATTGCCAATTTTCCCCCAAGAATGGTGCAGTCGCCGTTATTCGACCGATCCTCTGCGTCGTCCACTATGCGCTGGCATCTGGCTGCCAACAGCGTTGTCCCGCATCGGCGTCGCGTCTTTCGCTGGTAGGCACTTGCAGCGATGTTATACAGCATTTTGCGGAACACTGGCGCTTCCAGTTGATTGATTCCCCTGGTCGCCAGCTGACTCATCCCCGCATCTTGCTTCTCACTCTCATGGACGACCCGCCCTTCCCCCGCGAGATCGAGCTGCACATCTTCCGCGAGGCGCGCTGCAGCGGCCGCGGGGCATCCCAGTGTTGATGCGCGTGGCGTGGTGGGTGAAAGAGTGGTGCGTCCGGCAATGCGTACTTTGGTCCGTTTCTCTCGCTGACCAGCTGTGGCCGCCAGTGTGGAGCCGCTGCTGTACAACGTCTTGAGTCTTCGGGATCCGGAGGCTGGTCCGACTCTCAATACACCATTCCCAGTCTTGTCGCCGTCTGCCTTCAGGGCGCTCATCGAAGACCCCCGCCCGGCAGGCATTCATCGCGCAGTCGACCGGTCTGCGTCTCGACGGAGAGCTCTCCTCGTCTGAGACTAACAGTATTCTGAACTCCTGCCCCCACCTCCAAGATGTTGTCATTCTACCGCGTGGTCTCATATTTAGCACGGCAGACGTGCTCGGAACTCTGCCCAACCTCCGGCGGCTCACCACGAACCTGCTCTCGCTCTACATGATGACCGCATCTCCCGACCTCTCCGCGCTCACGCGCATCACACACCTCCACCTGTCGTTCTACCACCGCTGGCCGCAAGTCTGGCCGCCGCTTCTGGCGCTTCGTGCGCTGACGCATCTCGCCATCGATACAAAGGAGTGGTACCACGACATTCTGCAGAGGGACGCCCCACCGCTCGACATGTTGCTGGACGTGCTGTCGGATCCACATCGGCGGTTGAATGTATTCGTCCTGTCCTACCAGCGCGTGGGAAGGTGCCGCTCGACGAACGCCTCATAGAGCACCCTGCGTGCCTCCTGGTCCACCAGGGGATCGGCTGGCCGGAGTGGCAGGATGAGTGGACAGGCGGCGCGACTAGTGCGGGGGTTCTGGGAGCGCGTGGATAAAATGCTTGCGGAGCGTCGCTCAGCGGGCGCCCCAGGGAAATATGACAATGATTGGTAGTCCTTCTAGTGGAAAATATTCTGTAAACTATTGAATCGGAATCCTCCAAGTTATCAGTGCCTTCAAGTGCGTCCACTTCTCACACGGAAGCGTGTTGTCATATGCGCGTCTGTCACAGTCTCCTCAGTTCTGTGAAGCACACGAAATCAACCGTATGCGGCACACCTAGTACCGCGTCCCGCAGGACATTATACGCCTCCGCAACCTCGTGGACGCCGGCGTGAAGGACATTATACGCCTCCGCAACCTCGTGGAACGCCGGGCGTCGACTGGTGGCCGGGCACGTCGGGGTGGTGCCGCTTGCTCAGCTACACCTCCGCAGATAAGTCCCGCGCACGCACAGCCGACACAGCGGAGGGACCCACCGCGAAGAAGGCCGTCTGCCAGCGTGACCCTAACCCTCAACGCGAAGGCCTGCACCGTCCTGATGCCCCGCTCGACTCGCTCGGGGTCGTTCCCCGCTAGCTCCGCTCCGCGCAGGGTCCTGGGCTCATTGGACAGATGTTCTCCTGACCCGCGACGGCCCGGGTGGGGACCGCTTTGGCAAGCCATACCGTGGCTGGTGGTATATACTGTTCGTGCAAGGGCGTTGCTCCGTCAAGCCTAGTTCAGGAGTGAGCGGCGGCCAGGGACGAGAGAATGATGTGGTGGAAGAGTGGTGCCGCTGGTGCGTTTCCTGCAGCTTCCTGTGCACTCGATATCCGACTTCCCGTCTCTGAGTTGGTTTTCCGATTTGCGATTGGAGATTCGGAGCCAGAAGGGGATCTCTGGTCATGGATTCACATCCTCGATCTTGCCATGCTGGTCAAGTTCACTTGGTGCATTGACAAGCGTCTGCTCAGCCTTGCCAGGTTGTCGCGCGAAGATGTCGTGTTCCCGCGGGTGCGACATCTTGTATTGCGGATCCAGAATTCATTGGTGTTAACCCACTCTGGCATCGAGCAGCTGCCGCGCACCTTCCCGGGACTCGAACAGCTGTGCGTTCAGGTCATCGATGGGCCTTATAACACAGAGATGGCCTGCGAGCGAGCCAGCTTGTGTGCTTCCGTGTGTGCGCGAGCTGACCACAGCCTGCAAAGTGTTGCCTGCAGTTCTCCCATGCACACCATTTGTGAACAAACTGAAGATTTGGAATGAAGCTGCCGGGAGACTGCTGTTTACGCTCCAGCGCATCGAGAGGTATATTCCGCCCACGATAACTAACGTAGCATTGCAGTCGGATAATGGCAATTACTCCCTTTGGTCCGGGATCCTTGCCTTCTTCCCGAACCTGCGCACCCTCGATTTCCGTGTCAAAGAGTCCAGCGGTGATTCTCGGCCAAGCGAGGTGAATTCTGTCCTGTTATCTGCGGCCTTGATCCTATCAACACCGTTCTCCAGGCCCCTCACTTCCTCGCCAGCCTATCGACCATCCTTCCGCCCACTCTCGAAAGTCTCCGTGTCCATATTTGGTCCTCAAGGGCTGTCCTTCCCGGGGGGCAAACGGGAAGAGTGGGATTGAGCCGTCTTCCAAGCGCGGATGAGCTCCAGGCAGAACTACTGAAAGGGTGTGGCGGTCTACGGCAGATAGTTATCCGTGGGTCATTCCTGGACTTGCAGTGGACCAGCGATTGAATCTATCGCCGACTCGGACATGTGTTTGGACTCGTGCATGCCTAACTCGATAATATTTCTTTGATTGGTAAGACGACAGGGCATTCCAGCATGTTGTCGAATAGATATGACAAGCATCAAATGACCGTTGCCGAAAACACAGTCATGCGGGGGGACAGCTCAGTGCGGAAGAGCTTGCTGGTAAGTGCACGTTGAGTGGACGACAAACTAGAGGATCCGTAGATTCAGCGCGTTAAGTACAATTGTCGTGGGCGTCAAGATACTGGCGGCAAGGAAGCAAAAGCGCGGGCCAGTGTCGTTGACGTGTCGCGCAAGAGCCGGTCCGCGAGGCGAACGCGCGACCGGAGCTACACACCAGGGGATATGTGGACCGGGCCCGAGGGCTGGATTTCTAAGGCGAAGGAAGAGCCGTGGGGGGGTGGCAAACTTGTAGATGCAGCGCAGCAACGGCTAGCAACGGCGGCGGCGGCGCGCGCAGCGGGTGGAGCAAGAAAGCTGACGAGCACGGGGAGTGGCATTCGACCATAGTCCTGGACGCACTGCCGGCCCGAGTTATGAGAACGAGCAGGGCGATGTCTGGAGTAGAAATGCACCAGAGAAATTGGGCCTCGGATTGTCGTTCGTGCGCGTGGCCCGCCAGCTGGAACCCCTAGTGCAATGTGCAACATCTGGGTTATAGCCCAAAGGGGCAATGCACAACATATGGGATATAACCCAGTTTTCTCTGTCGCAAGTATTTCTTTATTAACTTTTATCTCTTTTGACTATTTTAGTGTCTTATGTCAGGTGAATGGTGATGGGATCAGTGTTCCTAATGTAGTATATTGATTGTGGAACCATTTTCCTAAGAGATCACTGATTTTGATGCCTGTGTGATCTTACATCACCCCCACTTGATTTAATATTGATTCTCTTTTTGTGCTACACTAAGCCCATAATATTACATACCGACGTCTTGGCCTGAAGAAATGGTGATTTACCCTCCTATATATGATCTTATATTAGTCATATCATGTTCCCTTAATATAATATATCAAAATATATGCATAGCCCATATGTTGTGCATTGCCCCTCTGGGCTATAACCCAAATGTTGCTCATTGCCCCAGCTGCAAGGGGTCGGCCCCAAGGGCCTGGTCGCGGCCCCCCCCCCCCCCCCCCGGGGGGGGGGGGGGAGAAACCAGAGATTGATGTCACGGCCGCCGAGCCCGGACCTGATGCCGATCGCCAGTGCCACGTAAGCAGCCACGCCTTGTCTTCTCCTTCCATGTGCCGGGGGAGACGGTCCCGCCCCTGGTCGGAGCAGGGATGCCCGGCCCCCGGGTAGGAGCAGGGATGGGCTGCGACGGTCGATTTGGCGTGGCTTGAGGTGCGTGTTGTGCATTCAGTCTCTATTTCGCTGATCTACTCCCCAGTAATCCCTCACTTTTCGCTGGCGAGTCTGACACCCAGGGTGGCGGCCTCTACTGGGCGGAAACAAGCGGCGTGAAATCAGCCGCGGACGGCCCGGATGGCAAGCAGCAGGGCACAACCGGGGGGGACAAGGTGCGTGTGCTATTTCGTCCGCGTAACTGGGTCCTGATAGTCGCTACGCGTGTTCAAGTTTTTCACGGTGCGTTACCCATGTCTTGCTCATCACGCAGAGCCAATCGCTCATTTCACTAATAGGTCTACTGCCCCCCACCGACGGCGCTCCGCCTTCCGCCAGACACCACCGGCCCGTTCGCCGACGCTGCAATCGATTCCCATTCCACTCCTCTCCACCTGCCCCCATGTCCTCTCCAGTCCCCGTCTTCGACGCAAAGCGATGCCCTTCCGCCGGTTGGGCCCCAGCGGTCTGCGCGTGCCGCTCTTCTCTCTCGGCGGCTGTCCGTCTTTGCGCATTCCCCATTGGCTTTAGCTGAGCTCTCGACAGGGCTCACCCTCGGAGGCTCCGTCGTCGGCGGCAGAGCGTCAAGGACATCATGCAGGCCGCCTTCGAGAATGGGATCAACATGTTCGACACCGCGGAGGACTACCAGAAAGGTGCGGCTGAGCGCAAATGTGCGTTCCCTGAGATTCCCTTCTGACCACGCTTTCTCTGACTCCAGCAAAATCAGGGGACACGCTATCAAAGAACTTGGCTGGCGCCGCACGGACCTCGTCATCTCAACCAAGATATTCTGGAGCCACGAGCCAGGCACGGGCCCGAACGACACGGGGCTGTCGCACAAACAGTGCGCCACCTTCCTTTCCTTCCTACAACTCTGACTGGCAACAGCGTTATCGAGGGCACGAAGGCTTGTTTGCGACGGCTCCAGATGGACTATGTCGACGTCATCTTCGCGCATCGTTGCGATACCACCGGTGGGTTTCTTACATTCGCCATAAGGAGGTCAACTGACGCAGGCTAGTTCCGATGGAGGAGATCGTCCGGCGCATTTAACTATGTTATCGACCAGGGCTGGGTGAGTGGTGGATTTTGTCTATCCATATCCACTAAGATTCACACGCAGGCTTTCTACTGGGGCACCTCCGAGTGGAGCGCACCAGATCGAGGAGGCGCATCGTGAGCGTGTACCTCTCCCGAGACCTCCCGTCGCTTACCCGCAGCACAGATGTTGCCACGCGCTTAAACCTCATCGCGCCCGATCGCGGAGCAGTGCAAGCACAAGTCTGCGCCATCTTCTTTCTTCCTTCGAAATAATGCTGAGGAGACGATAGCATGTTCCACCGCGAACGTCCGGAGAAGGAATACGCGTGGCGTGGGCAACCATCAAACTTCAGCAGTAGCTAATGCTGACTTTGTAGCCCTTTGTACGCCAAGTGCGGCCTGGGCACAACCGCATTCTCTGCACTGCAGGGCGGACTGCTGACGGGGAAGGTATATCCTCCTCAACCCTCTAACACGTAAACTAACTTTGCTAGTACAACGACGGCATCCCAGACGGCACGCGCCGCCACCGTGCCCATGTTCCGCGGGGGCGACGGAGGGTCCCCAGGGCGAAGAGCTGCTTTGGAAAGTGCGTCTCCTCAGCCAAATTGCTGCGGGTGCGTCGTTTCTCCCCGACTTGCTGAACTCTGGGCGGAACCGCTGGCGCCTCGCGTGGGTTGCGGCGCACCGCCACACTTCCACAGTCATCCTCGGCGTGTCCTCCGTCGCACAGCTCGAGGCGAACCTCGGCGCGCTTGAGGTCCTGCCCAAGCTGGATGCTGCGGTGTTGGCGCGGATCGAGGCTGTGTTGGGTAACCACCCGCAGGAGCCGGTGCGTATTTCTCTATCCAATGATGAGGTGGATAATGCACTAATGATGTTGGTGTAGGAGACGTATGGTCGCCCGCCGCTGGATCAGGGCATCCTTTGACTCGGTGCAATATCACCCCTATCTTTCCTTTGACCACAAGATCAGCTCAAGTAAGGAAGAATACAAATGCCACTCATTCTCTCGTTTATCAATATTGAATATCTTTTGTGATCTGGTGTGCTCAATTCGTATGTGTCTATATCATGATTATGCGTCCTTTGTCCACTGGAGGTTGAGATGGAAGGGTGGTGCAAGTATCGAAATCCAGCTCAGATTGGGGCAACGGCGAGCAGCTGCCTCCGTAGCACTTGTCCTGTCTGCATCACCAAGGTGTCGGACGAGGAACCGCTCCGGGGCCACGGCGAGAGAACATACTCGTGTCCGAGTACTTGACTTCGAGCCGCTGCAAACCCAAGGGAAGACTAGCCGGGAAGCCCGTGAGGAAGGCGGCAGGCTGTGATAGTATTGAGTAGGGTATGGGCACAGTTCGGATGACGACACTTAGGAGACATTCACTTACGGCGGGCACGCGTCCGGACAGCATCGTTACGGTGAAGTCGAGGGTATGCAGGTGCGGAAAATGTGCAAAGACCGCGCCCCACACGGCAAGATCGCCGTCCTCCGAGTCGCATTCGAGGGTGAGTGTCGTGATTGTCACGGGGATGCACTGCCTATTGCGCTGCAGCACGGACACTAAGCTTGTGGCATCAGCGTTTTCGACATGCAATGTGTGGATAGACGGTGCAATCCGCAGGAGGAGGGGTAAAGCTTCACTGGCTTCATACGTGGTCGTGAGCTTGAATACAGCGGGAAACAACGGTTCGCCGCCGTTAGGGCCATCCCACGGCAGCCCCGGATCGTCCACATAGAGTGCCGCCTCGACACTAAGCTGCTCAACTGCGGGAAAGGCCGCTTGCAGCTGCACACAGCCAGAGTAGGTTAGCAACGCGCCGCAGCCCTCGGAGAGTCTAAGCGCCAGGTGTTTTACGTGAGGTAGCACACTCGTAAGCCCTTCCACTGGTTGATCCATGTCCAGGCTGACCGCGGAGAGTGTGATGGGCTCAAAGAGCGAACCATTCTGAGAGTGCACGTGGGACTGTATGCTGCCGAGGTGGCGACTTTGACGCTTGAGACACGGATACGGATGTCGAGTGCGTTAATAGCGGCACGAAGGAATGCCTGGATCTCGGAGTCCACAGAACAGGCAAAGAGATCCAGCTCAATCAGGCCGCGGACCTGCGCAAGGTTGGCGAGCGCAGAGAGCGTGAATATGAGACTGTGGCCATAGAATTTGCGTAGGTTAACGAACTTGGAGATGCCGGCGAATAGCACGTCACAGATGGTGTGCGTGCCGGCTACATCGTTGAATACTGCGTCTCTGCTTCTTTCGGCGAAGCCATTCACTTCCTCCCAGGCGACATTGATGCAGTGCACATACGGGCGCAATGGCGGGGGACATGAAGAAGGCCAGTTTTGCGATGGCATCCACCACCTCATGAGCAGGTGGGAGCTTAAGGATGGCGCCGCCTGACCAGGCAATGCGCTCCTCCGCGGGCGCATATGGCTTCACGGCAAGCTTGCTGTAGAGGAATGGGCGGGCAAGCAGGCGCAGGCGACGAGAAGCAAGAGCGACGAGCTTGAGCTGGGCGGGCGACACATCTTTGAGCACTTCGTGAAAGAGTTCGTTCGGAAACATGGAGCGACCAGTTGCAGCCAAGCTGGAAGTGAAGAGAGGAAAGCGCTGCCACATATTGACAGCGCACACGTGTGCCCAGCCAATCGGGCGTGCCCGGCGCGGAGCTAATCATGATGTGATCGCCCAGTCACATCTTACGCAATCGCCTCCCTTTTTGTTCCTGACGCCCATCTCGACGCACAATGCCAGCCTTTGCAGCACACCTGCGGCGCCAGCTGGCGCAATGCTACGGCAACACTAACCGATACGCATGCGCCAACCACCCCTTCTCCAGTCGCCAACTTCTCCGGGAGTCTAAATCTGTGGCGACACTGTGCTGCTGGAGATCTTTGCCTGGCGTGTTACGCTGTCCTCGCTTTCCCGACATCACTGACCGAGCGCACCTTTTTTACAAGCCCACTCTTATCCTAGCTTATTCTCTGTCTTCAGACACCAGTCATCAAATCGACCGTATGCTCTACCCGAGCAGGAATACTAGCAACTGCCTCGGATTTCCCAACCGAACTTGGACCGCTGCCCGCGGTATGCAAAATGTGGTCTGGGCCATACTGGATTCTCCTCCGCTGCAAGCTTGGACCTTGGCTTGTGCCCAACCACTGGCAGTCCTTTGATGCCCGCGCCGCAGCCACCTCAGCTTCCTGACGCCCAACTCGGTCAGCACCATCTTGCGCACATCGACAATGATCATCATCTTCCAGCATATGGACCTGCCGCTGGAGAGTGGTCATCTTCGGATTTGTTCCTCCACTCCGGTCCGGTATTTATACTAATAACTATGCAGCGTGTGTGCAACAGCACTGTCGAGGACACGAATTAACTCGTCTCGATGCAAAATGCCAGCCTCAGGGGCAGATCTACGCAACACTAGCCGATACACATGCCCCAACAACTCCTTCTCTGGATGCCAACTTATTCGAGAGTCTAAATCTGTATTGAGACTCTCCGCTGAGACGAAATTGCTAACACAGGACTTACACCGGCGCATCGATTCCGACTCTGTGGGTCCGGACTTGGCAAATCAAACGTCGACGCAACTTGAAAGCTCACGCTAACGGGTCTGCGCGCTGGCCATCCGGAGACGATCGTGCCCGTGGTGCTGCTTGCCATCCGCCTCAGCGCTATGGAGGATAATCCGTACACCTGACACAATATCACACTAGGCGCCTGCCAGGCTACCGATTCCGCGGATTGGTGGCCGCCGGCGCTTGCGGTTGGCTTATGCCCAACTGTGGCCGGGCCGTGGATGCTATCGCTGCGGCCGCGTCCAGCTTCCCCACGACGATCTTAGCTGCCGACCGGCGCATCGACATCAACTCGACGACGCGCCGCTGAAGAGCATCCTAACTCGGAGGCGTGTTCGAGCTGCCCTGACGTCATTGGCGTCTTCATCAAGATGTTCTGGAGCGGTGGAGCAACAACACGGACATGGGCTGTTTGCGCAAGCAGTGCGCTATCTTTATTCCTCCACTCTGCACCGGTATTCATGCGATGCAGCCCGTGGGCAACAACGCTGTCCATTAGCGCCTCCAAATGATGCGCGCAGCAGATTGACCTCGGAGAAGCCGCACTGTATACTTCTCCAATGCTCAGTGTGCTCTTCCACCTTATCGGTCTTCTGAAAGCACTGATCAACCGACAGTGTGTTCCACCATACTGCATCTGCATTCGACCCTCAAGCATCTATCCCCGCGGCCCCATGTTCTGCGGGATCACGGACATGCCGTCCGCGCGGCGCGGCGCACTCCTCAGCCCGCCCGGCAGGTGCCTCGGGATGGGGACCCACCTGCGTACCGTTTTGTTGGCGTCGGTGGGGCACCGGACTGGTCCCGGGTCCTGCATCTCGTCTCCTGCCAGGGACGCTGTTCGTTAGCCCCGGGAGAGCGTCTTATGTGCCTTGAGCTGCTTAATTGCCAAATTAATGTGTGGATGCATCAATGGTCCCCGCGTGCGGCGACAGATACCAGCGGCGGAGCTAGCTCCACACGTAGCCTGTCTGTGTCCGAGTCGGACACCATCATCTGTCTCCTTCACTCCAATGCCCAGTGATCCACTGAGATCAGCACTGAAGAGCCTCGTGGATTTTTACAAAGAGATGTGCATATGGGCATGGTCTAATACCTCAGCTGCAGGAGCGGAACCTCAATCATGATATGATGCATTGACGGGCAGCGTGAGCGCAACTGCGCCAGCAGCCTGTCGGGTCGGGCACCGCGGTTCGCGTTCGGCGCAATCACTGTGTCCGCGTCGGACTGCCGGGATGACCTTCCCATCACACTGAGCCCTTTAAGTGTGGACGGAAGACGGAGGCAGTGACGCAACAAGGGCCAATACCTGCGACTTCCAGATCAGTGTAGGATACTGACCTATTTCATTCAATTAGGCGGGTCACGGTCACATCGGATTTTTGGCCGAAATATTTCGGCGGGTCACGGGTCACAGCCAAATCTTTTGGTCCCAAACTGTCCTAATCGGGAAGATTTCGAAATTTTCGGCGCCTGCGCGCGCCGAACTTCCCAATCGGGTAATAGGTCACGCGAAATTCGGCCTGTGGCCGGAATGGACATTTCGGCCAAACGGTCACGGGTCACAGGCCCGCTGAATTGATCGAAATGGGTCAGTATTCCCTCCCCCCAGCTCCCCCACACACCCAGCAAGCAAGCAAGTAAATAATCACCACGACTCAACATTGAACTCCCCCACGTGACGGTGCTAGCCCAAGCCAAAGCTTTTGATACCTGATGTCACGCATCACACCAGACCAGTCTTGAGGCTTGGAGTTGGTGCAAGTCCAACCTAAGCTCAAGTTAACTTCAAGGCCCATTGAAACTGGGCCTGACCATAGTCATATGCCTGTCAGGGGAACCCCCACTTCGGCCTCCTTCAGACCATCCGAGCGCATCCGAGGCACATCCGACCGGCGCCCCCTCGGACGCTCCGACCTACCCCAACCCTCGTCCTCGGCCTCCTTCGCCCGCACAATCACTGATCCGTCAAGACCCTCCCAACGATCACCTTGGGACAGAGCCTGCAACGCCGCTCAGCTCAGGCTTTCTGCGCTCTCGTCGGCAGTTACGGACGACCAGTATATAGTTGGCGCCCTAGCAGGCAGACCCTTAGAGTTTCTTCTCTTTGGATCCTCCCCTGCTAGGTCGGTCCCTCCGTGTATTTCCTGTAGCTTTTATTCACGTCTTGGATCCTCCCCTGCTAGGCTTTCGTCGGAGTCTCCAGGGTTGCCCTTACAATGCCATCCAGACAGCTGGTAGACCGACTGTGCTATGCTGCTGGTTCGCCGCCTGTTAGTGTTACTCAGACAATTGCTGAGTAAGCAGTGTTCTGAAACAGTGTAACGCTGTGACATTAACAA